CCCCTGCTAAAGGAATTTGATGTTCTCCAGCTCGGACTGCCTGGAAATCAGCGGCATGGCCCCGCTGCACACCACGCCGCCCACCGAGAAGAAGAAGCGAGTCCTCAAGCGACCGCCCGTCTTGGAAGACTACGTCAACGTGACATCCACCGAAGGCACCAGGGTTTTCCTGGTGGTACGGGATGATCCCTCCAGGATGGGAGTGGAGGTAAAGAAGGATCTGAAGGGTCGGGCTTCGTGATCTCCAGCAACGCGAAATGTTTTTTTTTGCCAGCTCGCCGAGTCCTTGGGGTGGAACGCGCGCCGGCCGCTGCGCTTGCTGGGGGTGCCTTTCACCTATTTGAAGGAACAAGTAGATGAAGAGGTATCGCATCTTCGAACGGCCTTCCCGTCGTCCCCTGGGGAGGCCACAGTGTTGGCTCCCAAATCCCTGCTCCCCTCCCACGCCAGCCGTGGGTTAGCAGGATGCCTCTGACTTCCATTTTTTGCGCTCAAGCGTCGCAGGCGTGTTCTGGAGGCATCGCAGCAGCTGACAGAGATAATAAGCAGGTGAGACGTCGGGATGAAATCCCACTCCTACCCCAGTGGGATCTGGGTTTCAGGGACCTGCAAAGCAGAGGAGCCTCTTTGCCCTCAGCATCCCCAGCTTGGGAAGCCTGAGTGTGATTCCCAGCCCTACCCTGACTCCCTGGGTGGTTTGAGGTGAGTTCACAGAGTGTTCGGGGTTGGAAGGCACCTCAAAAGATCATCTAGTCCAACCCCCCTGCCGGAGCAGGGTCACCCAGAGCAGGTCACACACAACCCAGGCAGGGTTTGAAAGCCTCCAGAGAGGGAGACTCCAAACCCTCTCTGGGCAGCCTGGGCCAGAGCTCTGTCACCCTCACGGTGAAATAATTTTTCCGTATGTTTACATAAGTTAATTCTTTCTCACAGTTGCCTCGAGAGCGAGACCGACACCAAGAACCCGGAGCCCCACGGCGAAGCGGAGCCGCTGGACGAGGAGGAATGTGCGCTGCATTGCCTCTGGGTGGACAAATTCACCCCCCGGCGCTACATGGAGTTGCTGAGTGATGATGTAAGGTGCTGGGGTAAATGGGGGTTCAGGTGGGTTTGCCTCATTTCCTTAGTGCTGCAGGATCGAGGCTTTGTGGTGCTGCTTTCGATTGTGGGGCTGAGACAGATGAGGGAGAGCAGGATGGGGTCAACGGGACTTGTCCTCGGTTGTCCTGCGGAGCCAGGAAGAGAAGCCACATTCCCAGGCTGTCCTAGAGAGATGCCAGGGGGAAATCTGGGCAGCCTCTCCCCGGCAGGGGAGCTCGAGGTCTGTCTGGGCAGATGAGCTCTGCCCTGCCTTCCCGGGCTCGGCTCCTTCCTTGCAGATCACGCCGGTTTTTATGCCACGAAGGAGAGACTTTCCTCTGCCTTCAGCTGGGTCTTCCTGAGGTCTGGCAGGATTTGCTTGCTTTCTTGCAGTACACAAACCGCTGCCTTCTGAAGTGGCTCAAGCTCTGGGACACGGTGGTGTTCGGGAAGGAGAAGGCTGTGAAGAAGGCCAAGCCCAGCGCTGAAACTCATCCTCCATTCAGGCACGCCAAGGAGCAGCAGAATAAGTGGAAAACAAAGGTCCAGCTCACAGAGGAGATTCTGGAGGCTGAGCTGGACCAGCACAAGAGACCCAAATACAAGGTGAGCAGGACGTGAGGCTGCTGTGGTTGGGTCTCCTCTCCAGTCCCCCTTATTGCCACCGTTACGGCGAGGAGCAGGGCCTTCCAGTACAAATCCAGAAGAAACCCAATTCCTGATTTCTCTTTAAAGGGCGTGGGGTTGTTTTGTTTCTTTGTCTGTTTTGGCTTGGTTGATGCGTTAACAAGGGGAGAGGAACAGAGTTTCTCCAGCCAGATCAAGTGAGCTGGTTGAGGAAAGATGTGAGTTTTTTAGCAGAGGCTGGACTTGACTTTTTTTGTCGGGGGCAGACGTGACCTGCCTTTGAGCTGGAGTTTCTGCATCCGGTAAAGTGTAACGATGCTCAGATGCTAGAGGGAGCAGAGATAACATACCCAGGCCGGCTTACCAGCTTCAGCCTGCCCAGGGAGAGGATATAAAAAAGGGGAAACAAAACCAGATGCTAACAGCAGGATTTTGTTCAGACTTTCCAGAAATATCCCCCTGAGAAGCCTTGCCCTGCCAAACTTAAACACGTGCGTGAGGGATGCTGCCAGGGTGACTCTGTCACCTCTGAGACTTTCTGTTACGTTTTCATTCCTCCAGTGACTTTCCCTTTTCTTGGTACGTCGACAAAACGGTGCAGCAGCTCCCAAGGGTGGAGGCCGACCCGTTTGCAGGCTGCAGAGCCCCATCCTCAC